GAACGGTAATCTTCATGACCGTAAACAACCTCATGGCGAATAAACATTTTGTTAGTAAGTGAAAACAGTCGTGCTAAACATCGTTATTTGCCGATAATCTGCTATCGAATTTTTGCACAATCGTTTGGATGAGACTTTACCATTATTCGATGGGTCTTTGCTGCACTGAATTTGATCGCGGCACCTCAAGGTACAGTAGCATAGCGACTGAGAAGCACACATAGCACTGCTTATTCGTTTATTTTTATCAAGAACAATTTTGTTATTTCTTCTGTTATCATTGGTGTTGAGATGAAAGATGAATTTCAACGCATAATTAAGGAATTCAAAGAGGTGATGGATAAGGCTGTTGGTGGTGCAGTGCTCATATCGTTCGGTTCGATCGCTCAGAGCAGTAAGATGACTCCGGCAATGAGAAATGCTTTCGTGCGAATGTTTACTGCATTCCCTCATGTATGTTTTGAGAGGGTTGCATTTCTATCGTGTGAAATTGCGTCGAAATGAATATTTATGAAAGAAATTCAGAATAATTGAGATTCGTGATCGGAAAAGATTGCGACGGCTTTGAAACATTCATTCAAAAATATGATCGCATTTCAATGTTCAGATACAATTCATCTGGAAATACGAAGTTGAAGATGAAGTAGCCAATGATCGACCAAATGTTCTCAAAACAAAATGGGTTCCGCAAAATGATTTACTCGGTATTTTTGACACAACTCAAAAAGTTTATTCGACTGTTCTCGCTTCCTCAACGTTACATTACTACACATTAATACGAATACGATATGAAATTATTCAAATGTGATATGTCCTAAATATAACACCGCTTGTACGATTACTCAAGTACAACGCGAACTGAATTTCAGCCCATCCAAATATGAAGGCGTTTATATCGCACGGAGGCATGAACAGTCTTACAGAAGCGTTTCAACACGGTGTCCCAATTGTATGTATTCCATTGTTTGGTGATCAGATGCGTAATGCTAAAATGGCTGAGAAACGTCGTGTGGCCACATTTCTTGATAAAGGAAATATCACAGAAACTTCTCTTTTATGGGCACTTCGAACTGTTTTGAGTGATAAAAGGTTATCTTTAAAAGGTTATTTCATTTTTATTCAGTTACTACACTCGTTTAAGCGTCTTCAATGCAGAATTATTATAACTTCGACATGAAAAAGATAATGTCTTCTATCATTTCTCAGTTTTTATCAATAGAACACACCGAACAATGAATAGGCATTCATCGTAAACATTGTGCTTGAGGCCATCTTCGTATGACTTGAACCGTAGTACTGATAATTTATGGATGTTCGTTAATTATGACTGAGTGCGTAAAAGTCCCACTAATTCCATACATAAACACCAATTGTAATTATGCAAAATGGGATTGCAAGAAACCCGTTCTATGCATTTTCAGTTATGCAAAACACTCGAAGCGTCTGGCTAGAATGATCGCAAAAAAACCGTTTTCATCAGAAGAAGTCTTTCTGAGACACATCGAATTTGCCGCTGAATTCGGTCATGTCGACAACCTGGATTCAGCCGCAGCACAACTCAACTTTTTGCAGTACTACATGATTGACATTATAGTACCGTTTATTGCAAGCGTTTTATTAACTGCTTATATTGGTGTACGGATGGTAATGCGTATTTGTTGCAGTTTCATGAGAGTGGCGAAATCGAAAACTGAATAGTTTCTATCGTTTGTTTNTTTAATGATTGTTGCGGCCTATTCAGTAACTCTTCATAGCTTGTTATTTAGTTGGACACTTATTCGTCCGATGAAGTTGTCAGTGTAGCTTTTTACTCACTCAAACTAGTCGTCAAACCGTGAATAGATTTCTACAAATAAGAAATTTTTCCTCAAACTCGCTCAAATTAGTCTTGAAACCGTAAACAAACTGAAAGTGGATATTAAAAATCCAAACAGTGATGAGTTCTTTTTGTGTTACTCCTCCCAACAAATGACACAATGTCACAACAAATGACACTTTAACAAGAAAACGCTTCATCTCAAGATTCAATCACCAGTAACGAGAATTCTAATTGAACAGGGATTACAAAACAAAATCGCTACATTTTACAGCAGTGCAACGAAAGCAACTCAAGAAAGAGAACTGGCAAAATAAAGGAACATCAAATCGTTAACATCTACGAAAAACATCGACGAAAGAACGTAGAATTTTGGTATTTGCTGTTATGTAATTAGTAATGGTATTCATACATTAGAGTGGATTAGTTCGGGGTAGACAAAATTCACAGATGAACAATACAACAGAAGAGTAAACAGTAAGAAAATACAAAATAGGGACTAAAAGAAAGAATTTCATTTGACCACAACGGATCACAATCGAACAGCATTTCGAGCCAGTCGTGAATGCTGCAAATGAGAATCATTGCTACAATCAGCAGAAACAGCTCGCCTAGGAACGGCAATATGCGAACTAATACGCGGAGATCAACTTACACAAATTTCACACCGGATTAATGTGCACTTTCTCCGCTAGCTATGGAAATATCCGAAAAGGACAAGAAGGAAAAAGTCACAAGGAGAAGAAATGAGAACAACAATGAAATGAATAATTTATGCGGACACGACAAACATTCACCTAGGTAGAGCAAAATACCAATAACCAACCAGTGACAAAAATGAAATTGAAAATCTAACCCGTAAAAGAAGAAATATTGAAATAAGTGATAAAGGCTTAACGGATAGTTCATCGATACAAACGCACACAATAACGATAGTTTCAGAAAAAAAGACTCATGCACATACTAACACGACGTTACACACAGCCATCGAACTATACAATTCTATAGATCGGAATCGGGAAAACAATGAAGTCATCTTATCAGATGATGACATTACACAAGAAGAAATTCGAAATTTCTTCATCCAAATTAACTCACTTCAAAGTTCATTAGAATTATTAGTAAAGAAGATGCATCCAACGAAAACTGTTCAGATGCAATTAGCAATTCTGAAACTGCACAATTAATACCTAGAAATGTACATGAAACACGTTGACTACCTCTAATGTCACCAATCTCCATTCAAAACATTGCATTCATTACGAAAACGAAATAAAGTCAACTGTACGCCATTTTACAACGAAAATAATAGATGCGTCCGATAAAATCTAATTTTTTCATTACCTTAGAAAGATTATACTTTGCACCTAATCATACTTCCATAATGGCCCAACAGAACTAAATGGAAACTGTTTCTTGATGAAATTCTAGAGTGGTGATTAAGTAGGGAAGTACGATTTTCTCAATTCTCAAAATGAATCGATCCTCTCCAAAAAAAACTGTAAATGAGCCTTATGATTTCTAAATCATTGCGACAGTATGATTCAATTACTTGATTATCCGAATCAAATCAATCCGAACATTTACCTCGAGTGTTCGTCTATTTATCATTCAGTCAATTACCGTTACACTGGACAATTTTCCATCGAGAACGGTGATCCACTTCTGATGCTTTCTGCATCGTCACTCTCCGATTCATACGCCGAATCATTCGTCTCTTCCGGAGTAGTTGTTAATTCTGGTCCATAGGTCATTAAGAGGTCAAGTATCACACCATTCGTCCATCCAAATCCCTCTTGAACTTCATACTCACCACCTCCAGCCACTCCATTCGGACACACTGAGTCAACATTGTACTGAAAAATTACTTTGTTGCTTTTCGAAGAACTTATGCGACGAATTATTTTAGCTTAATCATCATATGACGAACATTCACCGAATAAATAATCTTTCGTTCGATTCCGTCGCAAATATTACACGGTCCGTGATTGAATTCATTCTTCGGCGGTCTTCCATTTCTACGATTTAAGATTCATTTTATCACTTCAACAGGCTCATCTGAACCGCCAGGAAGATCGAACTTCATTAATGAGCGTCATATTTCGCGTAAAAATCATCAACTGNATCAATCGACGAACAACTATGCATGCGCTACGAATCAAACGAACGATAGAACTAAAACACGACAAACCTTCTCAAACATTCGGCCCCCGGTGCTCACCCACATGCTATAATTCTTTCGAATCCACTTCTCAGCAATCTGTCTTGCAAGCTCTTTCTGACCAGTAGCACGCAGTCCTTGAATCACCACCCATGTTGTTGGTGCCCATGCATTCGGAAAATCCCATTGTTGACCCGAAGCGATCAACGAACTTGGCAATCCACCTGGATAGCTTAACGCTCCCGAACTGCTCAAATACGATACCACTTTTGAGGGATTGAATCCTGCAAAAAGAAATAATGTTCAGCATCCACCGAGTACAATTTAATCGAACCATTTCGAAGCCCAAGCAAACTAAATCTCTTCAAATGATATTCCTCAAAAATAACGGTTATTAGAAAACTGAAAACTGAGGTACACAAATCGCAATGAGAAGAACAGCTACCGTCATGCGTACAACCAGTGAACAGTGGGAAGAAATTCGTATCCATATAATCTGTGACGTGTTTGCCAGTAACAATATCATAATCGAACCAACAACCGCACTCCTCATCCCAGAATACCTTTAAAAACAGGTAGTTACAAACGATTATAGGCAGATATTTGTTTATTCATTTCTAATTTCTTTTACGAGTGAAAAAGGTAATGACTATCATTTCTTATAGTTTATGGATGATATTTTAAGTGCGATTCTTCAATTGATGAATAATTCATTTGAATTTGTTTAATGGAAGAATGTAATCGAAATGAATACTTGATGAATTGCTTGACGCATTGCGTTGAAATTTTGACGACATTGTTCAGCACTAACGAGATCATTCATCGCCTCATAGAGATTTGCCATTAAACGCCAATTACCACAAATAATCGCATTCAAATCCACTGGTAATATGGAACTGGTTCTGCAAGAATTGTTAAATTCAATCAATCAACTATTTTTTGATGGAATTGGAATACCAGTAATTAACTAGAATAAAATTTGGAAAAAAACGAAACACCATAAACAAATTTACTTAATGAAGTATTCAATGAATGAACGAAGTAACCTTGTTGAACCCATTTTCCCAGCTACAGGTCCATCTTTTGAGAACCAACGCGAACTGAAATCACGTCCACTTTCGGCTGCTGCCGCTATATCACCCCAAAGTCGTTGTTTTTCAATTACTGAAATCGAATCAATACGAACAATCGACTCGAAAAACAACGAATGAATCAACAAAATTGGTTGACTGACCAAGCTTGAAACAGATTATTCAACGGAGCAATCAAAAACTAACGGTCTTGAATGTGCTCGGCACTCTCCATATCTTCGCGATAACTCTCTGGTCGAGGACCTTCAGCAATCACATGATATCTATAGAGAGGAAAAGCAACGCCTTTCAACTGAACTGATCTGAAATTATTCGAAAATTATTCTCTAATTTTCATTGGACATTCTCAGGAACCTTGCTTTCATTAAGTTTATAATCGATTCAACGATGAAGTAAGTAAATGAATAAGAAATCATTTAATGCTTCAAGCAGTTATCTAATTACCTTCTGTTCTGAAAGAATTCAATTTCTCTCTCAAACCATCGCGCCCCAGTCAATAAAAACTCTTTATCGCCAGTCGCTTCATAGTATGCGGCTAAACACCACGTGAGTAGTGGTGGTTGTGAACGGTTCAAATAGTACACACGATTGCCATTTGGTACATAACCAAACCTTAATCAGATAAATTCACTCGGACCGATCATGCTCTTAAGTACTGGATTACTGATTTGAACTGATGCAAAAGATCACTCGCTCAATCAAACAATCTTCAAAAGTGATCAATCGATTGCTAGTTGAATTTTTTGATGAATATATAAATAGATGATTAGCTAACAATAAGCGAAACAACTGCATCATAATGGAATTGATACTCAACGCACTTATCGATCAAATGGCCCATATTCTCGATCATCCCTCGAACAGTTTCATGCATTCCGGATGCAAGTAATCCTTTAATGGTGAAGAAACTATCCCAATAATACATTTCACGAAAACGCCCACCAGGTACAACGAACGGTTTCGGCAATGCAATCAATGAGTATCGATTCGGATCAGCCAACACACGATCGGATACCTTAAAATACGATCATATCTCAGCATAGGTAGGATT